AGTGTTTGTATACATTTTTAATAAACTCTAACCTCTTTACGCAGGCTCTCTAGAAGCCCCTTCCACAAGAATGGATATTTTTAATTAATATAAGCAACAAGAACTGCTAGCGAAAAGGAAGGTGTGAGAACACGGAGCTGTAATAAAACAGCACAGCTGTGGTTTTCTTTAGAAAAATCGTGTACAACCGCCTCATTTCCACGGAAATATATTTCAACAATGAAATAACAACAATAAAAACATTATTCAACTGAGCGTCAAAACAGGCAGAAACTGCATTTTATGACCACTAGGAAAAGGGATTAAAAGGCTTCCTAGTCTTTTTCCAATAAAGTATTTTGAAATCTCTGAAAGGTTCAGTTAACACACATTTTTTTTTGTTTTGCATTTTAAAAGACTGATTAATGACTCAAGTAATCATCCAAATAATTGGTAAGTAACTTGATCATGATAGTGACAAGCCCAATTCATACTCTATGGACATATACGTAGCATATTGTCGCTGTCAGAACGAAACGTTTTATGTTTTTTTTTGAAGTAGCTTGAAATCGACCGCAACCTTTACGTTGTGTCAAAATTTCGTGATGAAAATACCAAATGAAATGTCTCAAAACTGCCTGGATGAATATTTCAATAATGAATGAATAATTTCTCAATTAACTTCCATTAAAAGTCATGAATGTTTTTTTCTTCTCTGGTAAAGTTACCTTTCAGAGATGTGAGATTTTGTTCCGACAGTGAAAACATACTAAAAGTGTAATGCTCTGTAGAATCAACATAAACAAATCAAACTGAATCTTGAATTTGAAAGTTATATCAAACCTGTAGCAAACAAAACCAGGTTTTATTTTTTTTCTCCAATATGTTAAACCCAGCAAATGAATAGAGATCATGCACTAAAACCTTGTAAGTGTGTTCCGTGTAGAGGATATGCTAACTTATTTTCATTTAGAAGACAGACAAAAAATGCACTGAGGAGTTCAAACCATTGAATAGAAATGTACATCTTGCATGTTTAAAGCAAAAATACACAAAACGTCTCAACACTCAGTGACTTAAGGGGCTTAAGTGAACCATAACTTTGTTTAAGAGCGGTCACCACTGAGAGCTTTACCTCCAAACCGGTGAAGCTGCATGTGGGGTCAGATAGGTTTGCTGTTTTTGGAGTGCAGCAGTGTTGTTAACAGCAGGCTGGGTGAGCAGTAGATTTAACAGAGCTGCAGGCTCTCAGTGCAAGCTGATAAAATCAGAGTGGAGCAGCTGGAAGCTGATGAACTATAGGGTATGATGACAGGGCCTGGTAGCGCAGAACAGAACACTGAACAGAAAGACACTGTCATGCTTAAAATGTCCAGTACTGTGCAAAAGTCAGAAACCAACCCTTCATTTATTTAATTTCCAGTCAAAACTGCCATTTAGAATACACCATTCATTTTGCAGTGTCAGAAAACATATTTAACAGAAAATGACAAAAGAAGCCTTAACAACTAGATATAAATTCTTCAGTATGTAGTGTGTCCACTCTGCCTCTATTCCATTCTTTTCAGGGGATGTGCTCCCAGTTATTGAAGAAATCTGCAGGGATATTTTTCCAAACCCCGAAGTTCAGTCTTAAAAATTGGTTGCATTTTCTGCTTCTCACCATCAGAGTTATCAATTAAATGTTAGACTCTTATGTTGTCATGTTATGTTATGTTATATTAGTCCATAAAACCTTACTCCACATCTCAGACGTCTAGCTTTGGTCCTCTGTTTTTTTATTTTTTCAGATTAGAAGCAAGAGTGGAGCTTGATTTTCTCCTCTCTTTCAAAGACGAAAGCTGTAAGTACTGTTCATCAGATGGGGACAGTATTGGTGGTCTACCAGGTCTAATTGGAGGTCCATTTTCTCTGCTTTTAATCCTTTTTTGAACTCCTGTCTTGGAAACTCCTTTTTTTCTTTTTTTTACTTACAACTAATCTTCTCAGAAATGCTTCATTTAGCCATTTTAGATGCAGATGAGAAAGAAATCTGAAGTCAGCAAAGGTGAGTTTGGGCAGTTGATTGTGTGAATGATAGTGTGTCTTTGAAGGGAAGCACAAAGTCTGCGACAGCTTTTGTTGCGAGGACTTACTGGTTTTAAAATTGGAACGGGGAGTTAAAGTGGCAGTAGGTGCACAAAAGTAAAGAGTGGACAAATTAAATACTGACAGATTTGATATTTATATTTGGTTGTTGAGGCTTCTGTGTGATTTTCTTCTGTGTGATACATTTTTCCTGCTTTTTGTCTGACGCTGAAAAATGAATCTTGCACTTCTCTCATGCCTATTACAAAAAATGAAATCTGACATGCAGTAAGTGTACATGAATAAAAAGAAGGTTTATTCATTTTAAGCAGCAAAGGCAGAAGCACGTGGATAATAATGCGAGGAGTTTTTGTAAGACCTAATTAATTCACACAAAATAAAACAATACCACTATTGTGGAGGCACTGTTGGAAGCTCTTCTTGGTACTGGCATCAGACCTACAAAGTAGCCCAAAATCACTAGACTGAATTTGAGAATGAACATCGAACAATGAGAATGAGCACGGTGATGTGCCAATACTGCCCTCATGTGTTGAACTGCAGTACCGCAACAGTGTTCATACAGGGCCCATATTACCTCTCTAGCCTTACTTTTATCCCTTACAACTAAACAGGCTGTTTACTGTGCCTTTAAGATGATTATATTTTATATTTCAAAATAAAGCATTTATTATAAACCTATTATAAATGCATTTTTGCTTATTTTAGAGTGCAATATATACTTTTATATGATGATGTTTTATCTTTTTATTTTCATAATCTGCACTATCAGCGTGAACTTTTCACCCTTGCACGGATTGTTGAGAGGGCATGAGAGTTTGCCACCCCAGCCTACGTGTGTTTTGTGGTCTTGGAGGAGGCTTACGACCATATTTCCCGAGATATTCTGAAGGAGGTCCTCCGGGAGTATGGGGTGCTGGGGCCACTACTCCAGGCCATTCGGTCTCTGTATGCCCAGAGTCAGAGCTATGTCAGTATACTCGGCATCAAGTCAAGCATATTCAACAGGGGTGTTGGACTCCAACAAAGTTGTGCCTTGTCTCCACTCCTGTTCACGATATTCATGGACGGGGTGTCAAGGTCAGGAGAACATTATGTGAGGAGTCCGGAAGGTGCCGTCTCTTTTTTTGAGGGATGATGTCCTTTTGTCTCCATCGCATGGATATCTCTGGCACTCACTGGAGCGGTTTGCAGCTGAGTGTAAACAGGTTGGTTTGTGCATCATCACCTCCAAGTCCTTGACCCCTCGAGGCAAGAGGAGAGGACTTGCCCCAGGTGGAGGAGTTTAAGTATCTCCGGATCTTGTTTACGAGTGATGGGATGAGGGATTGTGAGACAGGCAGCAGCAGTAATGCGGTCACCCTAATGGACTATAGTGGTGAAGAGGGAGCTAAGCCATAAGGCAAAGCTCAGTTTACCCATCAGTTTACATCCCCTCCCTCAGCTACAGTCATGAGCTTTGGGTAATGACTGAAAGAATGAGATTGCCAATACAAGCAGAAGAAATGAGCTTTCTTCGCAGGGTGGCAGGCCACACTCTATTTGATAGGGTGAGGAGCTAATTCATCCAGGAGGGGCTCAAAGTAAAGCTGCCACTCCTCCATGTTGAGAGAAGCCAGTTGAGGTGGATCAGGCATCTGATTAGGATGCCGCCCAGCCGCCCCCTGTTGGAGGTTTACCAGGGAGGGCTGACAGGGACGAGACACCAAGGACTCCTAGGACTATTCCTCCAAGTTGGCCTGGGAGCAGCTTGGGATCCCCCAGAATGAACTAGAGGAAGGTGCGGGGGGACAGGGCCGTCTGGGATTCTCTGCTTTTTCTATTGCTACCATGACTCTAGCTGGATCAAGTGGTTTAAGAAGATGGATGAATGTATGCATTATCAATATCTATTCACTTGTCATAATTTTTCTCAAGACACAGTCTGTTTGATGAAAATCATCTAAACTATTGTTATCCAGAAAAAAAAAAAAATACCATAGCATTTTAAAGATATCACTTCATACATGACACATACTGCTTAAAATTTCCACACCCATATGAATTAAAACCACAACCAAATTTTCCACACTTTTTTTAAATAAAGGAGTCTGAGGTAGTATGTAAACGCTTTTAAAAGTTTCTAAACATACTGTTCACTCCCCAGTCAATATATGGACATTAAGCTGCAAAACAGCCTATTTTGAGTTCATTGTTTTTGTGATGTCATAAAAACCAACTCTTCTGCATATATCTGCCTATTTGATCTACAGCTGAGCCACACCCAATCACAGTTATAACAACTGTTTCAATCTGGACTGCTTTTTGAATTATGTAAATACAAGGCAGCCAATCAGAACAGAGGTCAGTTATATAACTACAACAATCTTACATGCACAGTAACAAAAACAGCCTGTTTTATTAAAGTGGATAAAGAGTGGTTGGAAAATGATCATGTAGAAATGAATTATGACTGTTTTTTGTACAACTTGTCCTGAGTGTTTCCTGCCTTCCGCCCAATGAGCGCTGGGTTAGGCTCCAGCACACCCGCAACCCTGGAGGATAAGCGGCTTAGAAAATGTGTGTTTTTTGTACATAAATATATTGTGTTGTAAACAGATTGAAAGCCAAACAAATAAACAATACACTAAACTAAAACAAAACAAAACAAATAAACAAACAGTGAAATAATGTATCACATGGTGCTTTCTTGTACCCAAGTAAGCCTCTAGCACAAGTGTTTCTGTGTAATGGGGCACTGTTCCCACTCACTTTAAAGAAAGTACAAGTAGCACTGAAGTAAGATCACATCCTGCTCTCATGACACCAAAGTAATACACCATACTGTTATGTATAACAACATTCTGTCTGATTTATTAATGGCTAAACTACTAAGCACACTTTATGGTATATATAAATATTAGATACATATATATAACTCCCATTGCCCTTACCTGAAGCAGAGGCTAAACAGGATGGTATGTGGGGAGACCAGATCGTGCTGTAGAGAACACCCTCATGGCCCTGCAGTGTACACATGGACTGACAGCGCTCCATATCCCACTGTGGGAAAACATGCTTTACTCCAAACAGCTTTTACAAGGCCCATATACAAGGCTTACATATACCTTGGGACTACAAGCCTTTGAACATAGCTGCTATTTAAGGGATAATCAGGGTTTTAAATTAAGCTGAGTTGGAATTTCAGTTTGACTTATATTACATTAGCTGTTACTCAGCAGAAACCTATGTGCAGTTTCTTTTTCTTCCTAACCCCTAATCATCTCATTCAAATGGAATGAAAATTATCCTTTAATAAAGTCCCAACATATCCCTTTAATACTACAGTAGGTCAAGGAAATAGATTTGTTCATGGCAAGAGAGCAGGGATAATGTGCTTGGACAGATTCATTGCAGGAACTACATGAATTATACCAACTCTTTTAAATGTTTTCAACGTATAACAATTACCAAACATCTAACTCCTATCTTTAAATATGAACATTCAATATTTGCTGCTTACCACTTTGGCTATATGATCCCAGGACCCAGAGACCACCAGATTCTCCCCCCGAGTCTGGCTCCAATCCACTGCATAGACCTAAACACAGCAACTCAAATAATGAAGAACTGCTGACTAGTAAAAGCTAAAGACAGACAGACAGACAGACAATCTGGGTTTTACAAGGGTCTGATATCTACATATATGTAACATACAGAATGAATACATAAAAGCATTAAGACATGTGATGTGCAATACAGCCATTTCACAACTGCTAAGGGGTGTTGTTAGGTACAACACAGAGTAAAACTCACTGTAACACACTGCCTCAAGTGGCTCACTGCTTTTATAAAATTGTGACAAAAAACAATTTATGATAAAATATACCAAAAGAATTCTATTATTATTATTACACCACATAATACAGTTTATTAAGAGTAAATAATGATCAAATTCCACAAATTGTTGCTATTTGGACAAAACCTTGTATCTCTAAAATGGTAACATTACAAGGGAAGAAAAAATGTTCTTAACTTTTAATGGAAGTTAATGGCACAAGATTTTGACCATTTCTATTGGTTTATTCATCATGAAATTTTAACATGCTGTAAAGGGCAACTATACTTCTTAAATTCTGTAAAAAATAATAATAACCTAAAATAATATAAAAAATACAAAAACAGAAAACTTCTGTTCACCCAGTGACAACTTACTTGCCGCAATAATGCAGAACTAAAAAGATGTGTTCGGACATCTGTGTATATATTTCGTGGCACAGCCAATTAGATTTTAGAATCAAAACTATTAATTTTATTAAAAAAAAATGCCATAAAGGATGTGTGGTAATGATGGCGTTTACAGCATATGTGCTCTCTGAGTTCACCTCCTGCGTGTGCTCCTTCAGGACTTGTATTGGACCTTGTGGGTTAGCTGTGTCCCAAATCTGCAGTGACCCATCTCCTCCTCCTGTCACCAGCACATGTTCATTGCTCTCACTCCATGTCACATCGAAGAGTCCGTCATTCCAGTCAAAGCTGCCCATAAAAAACAAACACAATAAACCTCGTTGAACATTTGGAGTTCATAATCCAGATTTTGGTTTGAGCAAATTCCAGTCTTGACTCTAACAATAAACTAATGAGGACTGCATTCACATCTGGAAACAATATGCAATAAATAAAGCAATAACTCACAACAGGTCATGCATTAACGCTTTAAGGGGTGTAGTTACATATAGCAAAAAGCAGAGTATTATAAAAAAAATGAAATATTAATAGTAATCCTCAATTACTTTCATCTTAATAAAAAACAGAAAACACACCTTCTTAAGAGCAGAATATCAGCTTCACTCTGTTCCAGCACAAGCAGCGTTCCACATCCTAAAATAAAAAATTAACTTATTAATATATAACCCGAGTTTATATATATATATTGTTGTCGGAACAAAACCTTGTATCTCCATTTTTGTCATTTTTCAAATTTGAAAATGCCTATTTTCTTTAACATCGTGTGTAAATTTCATGATGAATGGACCAACAGAAATGACCCAAAATTACTTGGAAAAAAGTCTGGTTCCATAGACTTACATTTAAAATAAAGAAGGTTCTTTACTTCTCCTGTAAAGTTAAAAGTCCTGTAACCAAACTAAAAAGTGAAATAATTTAAAATAAAAAAAAATAAAACAATGACATGTTCTAAGCTGCTTTTTAGACTTGTAATAGTTTGTAGTAGTTTATTTCCCGCACAATTTAAAATACACACAAATAGACAAAGATAGACTAATAGGCTTATATAAAGCCTCCACCTAAATAACAATAAAATTTATGAAATTGTTGTATATTATAATATACAACATAATGACATAAAACAAACATCAAAATACTTTCATGTTAGCACCGACATAACACATAAAATAAAAACATACGAATGTGTAAGCAATGTGTATGAGATTAATAAATATATATGTTTGTTAAATGGTGAAGATTTATACACCCATAATTGAGGTTGAGGTGCTCCACAGTTTGGGAGCGTGAACACTAAAAGCAGCATCGCCACTTCTGTGTTTTGCTCCTCAGACGACAGAAGGTATCTACTGAACCATTTAAATTTAAGGCGGAATTAGAAATTCGAATAAGAAGCACTTCAGCCTCATGATGGTCTTAGACATCACTGTGGATCATATTCAGTAAGTCATTCTGACATGTACTAAAGTGCTAACTCGCTCACTGAGGAACACAGACGTGTAATCTGTATTCTGCTAAAGTCGAAGCTGCAGAAACAGTGTTAGTGAAAATGTCCCCGTTTACCTGCGATGCCATAGTACTGAGCTGTAGCGCAGGCCAGTCTGTTGGAGAGAAAAGGAGATACTTCCACCGCATAACCGTGACGAGCTGGACACCTGAACCACTTCATACTGACTCAGCCTGAAACACGAAATGACCCTCAGTCCACTCTGCTCCACATTCACCTCTTCATCAAGAAAAACATCAGACTTTCCTCACTTCGCTCGCTATCGAACGCCTTTCTGACTCAAAACAAACCACCGAGCTCTCAGTAATACTGCACAGAAGATGATATCACAACTGAAAACAATTTAACTCGCTGTTAGATTTACCAGGTACATCATTTCTACAAGAGTCCTGCAGTTTTCCTTCGCATATGGACCTCTTCCTTGTTTTGAGTTCGCGGGACAATGAAGGTCCGCAGCTATTGGTGGATTTGTTATTAGGGTACCAACACTGCGATCTTTTATTGGCAGAGAGGGTTAGTATAGGCTGCGTCAATAAAACGCATACTACAACACCAACTAGTCCAATTCCATTCATTACTGTAGTGCGTGGTCTTAGACGCAGATTGTCTCTCAACATGTCAAGGCGATGTACTCAAGTTACGTTATTTTGAGCCAAAGCGTAGTTTAAATGTGTTGGAAAAAAACAATATACTACAACTGAACAGTGTATAAAATAAAGTCTAATTTAAAAAAAAAAATTGAATAGTTTACGATTAAATAATAATAATAAAAACAGTAATGAGTCCATGATCAATAAAATACACTACATGGACAAAAGTATTGGGACACGTATACATTGCACTTACATGAGCTTTTATGACATTTCATTCTGTATCCATATGCATTAATATGGAGTTGGCCTTCCCTATAACAGCTTCCACTCTTCTGGGAAGCTTTCTACAAGATTTTGGAGTCCATTTATCCAGAAGAAGATTTGTGAGGTCAGACACTGATGTTGGATGAAAGGGCCTGGCTCGCAATCAGATCAGTGTTCTGTGCAGGCCAATGAAGTTCTTCCACACCACTCATTCAACCATGCCTTTATGGGCCTTGTTTTGTGCACAGGGGCTTAGTCATGCTGGAACAGAAAGGGCCATCCCCAAACTGTTCCCACAATGTTAGAAGTGTACATTTGTCCAACATTTGTCCAAAATGTCCAAAAGTTTGCCTCGTCCACTGCTTCGTGGCTGAGCTGTTGTTGTTCCAAGGTGCTTCACCAATTATTTCACAATAATAGCACTTACAGTTGACGGGGGCAGATCAAGCAGGAAAGAAATTTCAAAAATAGACTTGTGGCAGACATGGCATCCTGTGACAGTGCACTGTTTAAAGTCACTGAGCTTATCAGTACCACCCATTCTACTGCCGGTGTTTGTCTATCAAGACTGCAAGGCTATGTGCTTAACATTATCCACCTCTTAGCAATAGGTGTGGGTAAAACATTCTGAACTCTATAATTAGAAGGGGTATCCCAATACTTTTGTCTGTATAGTGTATAATGTATTAGAAGTAGTAAATAATGAAAAAGAAAAAAATATATTATTAGCAGTACTGGTGATAGTAGAAGTAGTAGTATTTTACCATTTTAAAAAAGAAGCCAAGCGTAACCGTTCCATCAAGCCCATAATCATATGTTTAATAAATTAATCTATTTCACCACCATCACTCAACTGATTAAGGGCTTGAGCACCATGATGATAAATCATATGTCTGAATCTCTGGCAAACCATAGTTTTCTTAATAGGTGGCAGAATTTGGGGGGATTTGAACTCAGTATGTACCTCTCAGCCAGGAATACATTTTAAAAAAGTATATCTGAGGCCAATATCTTCTCACCCCTATCATAAAACAGTGTCTCAGGCATCAAGCAGCGTATTCACAACCATGTCATGCAATAACGTTCTGTGCTGGAGCTTTTAGAGGCATTAAACTATTCAGGCGTCTGGTTCCTATCACCACCCTGCCTCAAAAAATATAGAAACTATTAAAAGTTTCTGTTAGTTCCTGGTGGTGATTAACAGTCACTGATGGTATTTTGTGTTTTCCTGATGGGTTGATATCACAACTGATAACAGATGCATATGATGGTTTCCTAATAGAATCTAAAGATGTCCTACAGGAAACTAGTGGTCTCTAATGTTAAATATTCAGTTAATTCTCATTAAAAAGCAAATTCATCAGATTTAATCCTAATGGTGCTAATAGTGTTTTTTCAGCAGGGCACCACTGTGAACAATTCTGACTTGGCAAGTGTCTCTAGAATGGAGCACTTACATTAAACCACTCTGAATGATTGTTTGAAGTGCCATCAAGTCTTTTTTGACTCCTGGCAACCATATATGGATGGTGTTTCTCCAGAATATTCTGTTTTCCGTTTGGGCCTTCAGGCTTCTGAATGGCTGGTTCATGATTTCTCTGATTGTATCCATACATCTTGTTGCTGGTTGTTGTCTTCCTCTTTTACCTTCAACTCTTCTGAGCATAGTGGTCTTTTCCAAAGGATTGTTTTTTCTCAAAATATGCCCAAAATAGGACAGTTGTAGTTTGGGTATCTGGGCTTCGAATGAAAGGTAAGGCTTGATCTGGTTGAGGATCCATTTGTTTGTTTCCTTTGCCATCCAAGGTGCTCTCAAAAGTCCTCGCCAACACAGGTTCATCTATATGTTTCCAGTCTTGCTTGTTTATTGTCCAGCTTTCACATCCATAAAGAACCACACAGTGTAAAAAAAATTAAGCAACTCTAACTTTAAATAATTTGGTAAATGATTTCAGCACCTTTTTTAAGTTAGTCCAACTTTAAGACTGATTTGTTCCCCACAGTTAGAAGTTTAATTTGGCATACCAAGTCTTAAAAGGTTAGCTAAATTTAAATTGCTCAGTCACCTCAACTTTCAGATCGGTAATCATAGCCTAATATTTTAAGTTAGCAGAACTCGATATATCAAGTAATGGTAACTCCAAATTTGATGTTAGACATTTTTAGTTAGACTAACACACACAAAAGTGTTTGTTGTACATGGCAACAGCATTACACTAGTAAACTGAACTATGTTCATTTAAACTGTTGAAATAAAGACACATCAATATTTTCAAAGATTTATCAGCACAATCATTACTGAGCACAATTCTTGCCAAAAGTCAGTAAGCTGAAAGGCAAAACTGTGCTGATATAACATTTCATTCATGTGGAAATAACATATGTAATAATATTAATAATGATGACAAAATATTTGAATCAAGCACATTCAATGCATTACTTTTTAAGTGTAGACTAATGCTAGATTATGCTAAAGCTGAACCCGGGTATTCTGGGGAGTATTCTGAACCTTTTCCATTGCTAAAAAAAAAATTCTATATTTAAAACATAGCCCTACAATATTATACATGAACAAGATAAAGCTAGTGACCTTTATTCAGCAACAGGTTTCTGTACTTAAAACTGTTTAGACACCCTGAACCTTGAAATATACAAAAACAAACCATTAAAAAAAAATTAAAAGGTCTTAAAGCTGCTTAAGTGCACATCAAGGCCTTACAGAATAAACTGAATGATACAATGCCAAGGCAGAACTTGCATTCCTGAAACACTGCAATAGCCTAGGCCTTCAGTAGGCGGTTTTTCAGTGACGAGTTTGAGCAGAGCACCGCTCACCAAGAGGCAGGAATATTTTCTGCACAGTTTCAAATATGTATCTCCATTCTTTGGGGTATATACTTTTTGACTGGCCTGATTCATAATTCATATTCCAATTTATGTTTCACCAGAACCAATATTCCCCCCTCATGGAGTTTCCCAAAACTCTTGAATTAAAATACAATTACACAAACAAATTAAAAGTACCAACTACACAGTTAGTCTACATTGTTCATCTTAGCTTATATGTGTTTTTACATAACTTCAAAACTCCACCAATCTAAAAACAGAAGCCAGATGAGATGTTGGTAATGTGCATATCATTCTTTACTACATTACATAAACAAATGTCCCCCTGCTGTCATTAAACATTATTTTTCCTGTTTGTTCTAACATCAGACCAACAGGGGTCCTTACCAATCTTTATCTGTTTTACAGATCTGGACCAGATCAGCTCTGGTGAGGCTAGTACTACTGTCAAATCTAAAATATGAGCTAAAATTAAACCCTGATTAAAACAAATCAAAACTTCACTCATTAACATGAACTCGAAAGTTCTCTGATGAGCTCATCCCAAACCTTCACTGTAGAGATGGTCAGCAATTTGTTCCTGCTATCGTGAACTTATGCTGAAACAAAAGCAAACATCTGTAACAGACTTTAATTATGTCTGAACATAATCTCATCAGTTAAGGACATTTGTTCATAATGATTCTACCACAGGCATGAACAGCTGAGGTAAACAGCTGATTTGCTTGACCAAATTGTAACATTTGACTAACATTATTGGACAACCACATCTTGAGAATCAGACATTACAGTCATCATTAATGATGGAAACTCTTTTAAAGGCAATTACAAAACTTTAGAAACTGTGACAGCAGAGCAAATTGCCATTTCTCTGGCAGTGATTACACCTACATGAGCTCAGCCACTGACTTTACTCCTTGAGTAACATCAGCTTTACTGCTCATCACATCCTCAGTGGCTGTGCAGTCAGTATAGCCCCCATGCAGTAAAACTCTCTCAGCAATGCGATAAGTGTACTGACTTTCCAGATCATTCTGAATGCCAGGTTTGATCTCTTCTGCCAGGCTGAGAGGCTCATGCTTTGACCTTCCTCCTTTTTCTACACCTGGAGCTGTTTCTACGACAGTCAGATCAAAACCAGCTTGATCAGAACCGCCTTTCTCGTGGGAGGGGTTCACATGCTTTTCCTTTGTATTAACGTGGTTCAGCAGCTCATTTCTTTCTCTTTCAAGTGAATCAACTTTTGCTTTCAGAACCCTGATAGAGTATTGCGTTTGGTCCATGAGCTGTTGGTGCTCTGTTCTTAGAAGTGCCACTGTCTAAACACCTGAACACACTCCTTAAGGTCCATTTTCTTTACACGGTTGCTGAGAAGCATTGTTCCCATACTTCTTCCACAATTTCTCCTTTTTCTTCGAACACAATTTATCTGACATCTGTGATAAGTCTCCCTCAAATGCATCTCTATCAGCATACATAGAAGATGTTAAATTCAACTGGGAAAACCCCACACATTTGGGTAAAAAAGGAAAAAAACTCCTGTATATCTAACTCAGGAACATTGTTCCACAGAATTAACCCATGAACTACCCACAATGAACACCGTCGTGCCGACTCCTCGTAACCTCGGTATTACATGACCCAAAATCGATTGGACTTCTGCTACTTACTTCACTGCCTATGACTCAAGTGACTACAGTCATTGACCAAACCACAAACCACAAGAC